AAAAAAAAGAGATCGAGACCATCCTGGGCAACATGGTGAAACCCCGTCTCTACTAAAAATACAAAAATTAGCTGGGCATGGTGGCGCACGCCTGTAGTCCCAGCCACTCGGGAGGCTGAGGCAGGAGAATTGCTTGAACCCAGGAGACGGAGGTTGCGGTGAGCCGAGATCGCGCCACTGCACTCCAGCCTGGGTAATAAGAACGAAACTCCGTCTCAAAATAAATAAATAAATAAAATAAAATAAAATAAATACAAAATTAGCCAGGCATGGTGGTGCATACCCATAATCCCAGCTACTAGGGAGGCTGAGGCAGGAGAATCATTTAAACCCCTGAGATGGAGGTTGCAGTGAGCCGAGATCGCACCATTGCACTCCAGCCTGGGCAACAAAAGTGAAACTTCATCTTAAAAAAAAAAAAGAGGTGGTGGAATAAGGAACTGAGTTGAGCTTTTGCAAGGAGATATAAGGCCCTCTCTGAACCCTGAAATCCTGGGGGTATAAGAGTTAAACAGCTTCCACCAGGAGAGCCATGCAGAAGGGGAGCCCTGGGGTAGAGCCAGCTTTGGGTGCAGACTGGAGGTTGGCAGGTGACTGGAGAGGCTAAGGATGGGGGAGACTTAGCTGATTGGGAACAAGGGTTTTCAAGAGCAGAGTGAAAAGGTTGGGAAGGGAAGGAAGGCTGGGAAATGGGTCAAGGAAGATGAAGCATAGAGCTGTGAAGGGGCGAGGAGAGTGTGGTAAACTTAGCCAGTTGCATGTTGTGGATAGAGGATGAGGGCAGGTCTGTGGAGCAGGGTTGGAGGCAGAAGTGAGTCTGGGGAGAAGAAGAGGCGGGGCTGTGGGTATGGAAGAGGGCAAGGGGGAGAAGATGAAGGCAGAGGATTTCAGGATTTCACAGGAAGGAGTTCCTGTGGGGAGAGGATACAGAAAATGGGCAGATATGGGGAAAAGATGAGGGCAGATGGAATCTGCCAGGAAGTGATGGGTGGCAGGGATGGGGGTGTCTGTCAGGTTACGAGTAGGGAGCAGAAGGGGGTCCATGAGAAGGAAGTGACAAATTGGAGTGCATATGCCCCCAGAAGAGAAGTAAGGACACCTTGTTAGGAAGTTTGAGGAGATAATGTTTCTCTCTCTCTCTCCCTCCTATCTCTGAATGGAGAACTGAGAGTGAGGAGTCAGGGATGGAGCCCAAGGAGAAGGCCTCTGTGTCATTCTGCACATGAAACTTGCAGGAACAGGAGACAGTGGCTGGCCTGTTGTCTCCGAGGCCATCTGGGGACAGTGAGCCAGGCTGGCAACCCATGCCTTGGAGGCCTCTTGCTTTCAGAAAGTGTCTTTTGATTTAAGGGGGGAAAAGCCCTCTGGGAAATTTTATTTAGAAACAAGACCTATTGATCTCTTTACTTTTAATACCTCCCCTTTGCTTGTTGCTAAGGACCTCTGGCTTAGAATGAGAGCTGGGGCTTTTGAGATTGTGTGATTTTAGTTTCCCTGCATGAAGAACCATTTGGCCACCATAGAAATGATTTATGAATGAGTCCAGATTTATTAATCACCTCTGAA